GGATTGAAGGGGAAGTCTGGAACAGATGATCAGGTATGCAGGGCTATCCTTCACATTCCCGCTGTTTTAAATAAACTCTAAGCCCACTTCATTTGGAGTCCCAGGTAACTGATATCAAAATATCTGCCTTAAGCTTTTCTAGCATCACTTATGATCATATGGCCGAACTAGTTGAGGATCCTTGAGTCCAAATCAGGGACATAATACGCCTCCTATTTTTGTAGAAAAAAAATTAAGGCCATATAAAATCAATATAGAAGCTCGACAAAAAAGGGAAATATCGTTTACAAAGTTCTATTACCTTACCAGCCCCACCCCCCAAACAAGGAGAAACTTTCATTGCGAATTTGTGTGTGAAAAAAGGAGCAATTCACGCGGATTGATCTATTTCTCCACATTGAACAATCAATTCCATCTGAGAAGTTAAAGCGTCCTCTGGCGTCTGTACTTAGGAATGCACCTCCGTGCACAAGTTTCCCATGGGACGTTACAACGGAGTGCTGACAAACAAAACGGATCCTTAAATCTCGCTCTTTGACACAGTTTGTTTTGTCTTTATTAAGGCACTTACCTACAGCACAGGGTGTGACCCCGCTGTACCCCTCCAAGGCCAGGTACCGGTTGATGGAAAAACACCTCGACCGCATCACTCCGGACCCCAGCTTCGTCTCTTTCAACGTGGAGCATGCCTGTAGAGGAGAACAAACAAAGATAGGCGGATGGATACATGAACATTCATCTGTGAGTAGGCCGATTGAGTGAATAGGTTGTTTGCACTCACGTGACTATGACGTAAGTATTGCCCGTCATGCCGGATGGTTATACCTAGAAGCTGCTTGGTAGGTTTTTAAATTTAAAAATTTGTAACAATGTAGACATTGGAATTACGCATGAAAATGTATACATTTGACTCTTCTAGGTTTAACCGAACAATATGGCGGATCTACATGTGGCGTCACGGTCAAGCATCCTTCCTTTAGGCGGATAAAACGTAAAACATCCAAGAAAAAGAGAAAATGCGTCTGGGATACTCTGGATGCTCATCATTTGCAGTAGAAAAAGTAACCATCATTGTTACAAGCCCTCAGCAAAACAGTTGATGGACCAAGTAACTACGTGTGACAAATATGCCGACAGACACGATCGACCAGTAATAACCCACGCATTAAAGATAACTGTGTTTTGACTGGACACGTGGCGATCCGAAGCCACCCTTGGTGCTCAATAAAGCATGGTTTCCTGATAAACATCGCTTCTCAGTCCCATACTACTGTCAGATATATTCTACACATTCACAGTTTGTACAGCATGACCCTAAACTGTAGGAGGTGATTATGTCTGAGCGGTGTAGAACACGTGCAGCACATTTTGTACTTGTACCGTCGTTTGGAGCCAATTTGATAAAGCTTCGCGCACAAGTTGCGTGCAATATTTCACGTCTGGCAGGGATTTTTTATGCAGTTGCTTTTTTCGTCGCTAGGTGGCGCGAGAGCTCTGATGATGTCGTTACCGGTACCCTTACAACTTGGACTCAAGTTTCAAAGTTTGCATGTGCACAACAATCCTGGAGAACTTCTGCTAAAAACTAAAATTTTACTGAATATTACTAGTACAAGCGTCAAATACAAAAACTCGCAGCCTTCGCCAAGAAGGGTATGCTATGTTTTCGGTGCTGTTTGTGGGTTTAAATTTGTTTCTCTGTGAGCATAACTCTAGAAGCTGTAAATGAATCTTAATAATATTTGGCCTGTAGGTGTTGGTAAAACCAATTGTAAGTTCAATCATGGGCTCCTTAGCGGCTTTCTATGGTACTGCAGCAGAATCTCCGCCTTTCATCTTCAAGCCTCCATTCCAAACAGGATCCTGAATCTTTCTGTTGTGGACACTGTCTTTCCGTTAACACCAAATATGACATCGACATCGACAATATGACATCGAAACATTGCCCTAGACAGATCGCGTTTGTCTCAACGATCGGAAGACCATTTGTGGGTTCAAACGCTAGGCGACGCCTCTAAAGTGACCACAAATCCGCTCTCTGTTTCCTGAGTGGCCCACAGCAGGGAGGGCACACAGCAAGGAACGTCAACGCCAAATATGACGCTAAAATGACCTTGTACTTGGCTTATCGCTTTAGTCTTAACCAGAGGAAGGCCATTTTTGGCTCAAACGCTAGGCGGCGCCTCTGAAGTGGCCGCAAATCCGTAGTCTGTTTCCGGAGTGGTGAGGGCACGAGCTAAGGTTTTGTTTTAATAATACGGAGTGCCCTGGGTCTCTGCCAAGGACGAAGCCGTGTTGTCAGATGTCGGCTCTCTCTTTTACAGTCTGGCCGTGCCCCTATCTCTTCACACACATGTATGGCATTAGTTATCATTGTTCCATCATGTGGAAGGCAGTTGTTTCCGTTTATCTATCGCAAATGGCTTCAATAGGGATCTAATTTTGCCCGAAGGATGCTAGCCTGGGTACCAGACTGTCTCCAGGGTCTATAGACTAAAATGACCCCCCAATACCAAGGATTTTACCACAGTGGGTCAGACCCTCACGGTAAAATTTCCTTGGGAGCATGTTGGCCCTAGAGCCGTGGAGCTGGCCAGTGTAAGCCCTGGAAACAGCCTGGCATCCAAGGTATAAATGGATAAATGGGTATTCGAATATTTTACTGCCTCCAAACAGATGTATAAACGATAAATATGCGTCCACAGGGTAGAGATGTACACTGTATTTTCATAACCGTATGTACGTAGTCAGGTTTGCTAATCGTTGCCAGTCTTGCTCATGTCACCAGGTTCAGATGTCCATGCGGTATTATGCATCTCTGTACGTGTTTCCGACTTGCGTAGAACCTTAACAAGTTTGTATTTTATCATCTTGTAACTGGAGGTATTTTCATCCCTTTTTCATGGTACCTGTTAAAAACCCCTCTGTAAAACGTGCATGTTCAGAGTAGAATAGTTCAGTACGTATAGCTGAACTCATATGATCATGTTTATGATTTTAATGACTCCAGCAACAGCAATAATGCTCTCACGAACAACAGGATACGTAAAGCCACTATAATGACGCGACAGAAGAGTTGGAATAGCGATCATAGACACAAAATTAATGCACTGAAGCTATTCAAACCTTGTAAGACACGGGTATCTACTAGTATCTATGGCAACCGTTCAGAAGATGATGTCAACTCAGGTCACGAATTCATAAAAAAATAAAAAAACTTCTGCAAAATCTTTCGCGTTTTCAGAAAAAAAAATACCATAATATCGGAAAACGTGGCTGGCTCTTGGGAGAGCTCTCTCACTCTCATATCGCATTAAGCAAATATTATTTTTGAAAGTCAGGTCGCCATATGTCAGACATACCATATGTATTAGGCGTGTATTAGGCTCATGTGTCAACCCGGTGTGCGGACATTAAGCTTTCCGCTAGGGTGTTCCGCGGCAGATTACGATCGGACGTGACCAACAGTTGAAAGCTAATGGCTGGATTTCGTGACCAGGCATATCCGACTTGAACACCCTGTCCCTGTCAATCCGTGATAGATTAGAAAGACGTCTGTGTGATGAAAATACAGCGCAGGATACTCGTGAATCATCAAAGGGAATCATTGTCTATTTGTCGCTTACGTTTTGCTGTTTACGAGTCATAGATCATGACATTGTTCATCATAAACTTCCATGGAGACCACAGAAGGCATTGTTGCGGTTATGGGGAGGTCACAGTCGCCGTGGGCCGTCCTACGACTTTTGTGTCGCAGAGTTTTAGTAGGCTGTGACAGAAGCAAGGATCAAAGATAAATGCCTTTTATCTTATCTTTTACCTATGCCATCTTCTTCATCGACTTCGGTTTATGGCCAGGGTCAGGATTGTTTCGTTCTGAGAGTTTCAATTGTCCAGATCTTCGAGATCTTAAGGGAGTATCATAGAGCTTTTTAAGCATACTAAGGGTAACCTCTAGAGTCTAGACTATACAAACTCGCCTAAGCGTTCATTCGTATAAGGTGTGTCATGATCGGACGACTCCAGAGACTTATGGGAAAAGGGCTTTTCAGGCTTAGAGCTGACAGATCCTGACATACCCGACTGATCCCACTGTTCCAAGAGTCTTGTCTTTAGAAATGTTCTAGAAGACGGAATTACCTCATCAAAAGAAACACTTGACACTATTGTGTTCAAAATGTCTCCATTCGGGAGTTCACCAACCACGGACACGTTGAGAACAGATGACAGCAGTGTCTCTCCAACCCAACAACAAAAGATACCTTCAGACTCTCTTTGCAACACGTGTGACATCTAAAGTCAGGAACAAGACCTCTCTGTGTTGAAGCTGCCGTGGTACTGTCTTTTGTCAGGATATCAGATGGCAAACAAAATAAGACCGAAGTCGTCAGTAGTGGAGTGCCCGTAGGCGGGAGGCCGCTAAGGACCCTAATCAACCGGCTGGCACCACCTCCATTAACGGTATATCTGAACGTGGTTCACGTATTGCCGTATCTAAGAGGCAATCTGAGACACTCTTTACTGTATCGCGTTGCACATCGTGGAGCCGATAAAAATAAACCAATCTTCCAGTTCATGAACTCTTCAGAACTTCTAGAGCTGGGGCTAGGGATAATTTAAGCCGTTATGTTTCGGCCAGGCTGGCAAATGGCTGTTTGAAAATTCTGCGGCATCATAATCGTACAACAGCCTACCACAAATGTGATAACATAATTATGCAGACTAAATGGATTTTCTACGGACATTCGATACATTGAATCTAATCTCCAAGCCTTGACAAAAACATGCCAATGTTACTTAAAGTCTTAGGCGAGTCTTTGAGTGTTGCCTCCACTGCATCGTGTACTCGGAGAGAGAACTAGACATGCCGTCACCCCCTCATCCTGTGGTAACACTTCTCACACCCTACATGACGTACTGAAGTAATGTGTGGTGGCTTCAGGTAACAACCACAGACACCTACACACTGACATCCTAACATCCAACTTGGCACTGTTGCCGTCAAGTTTACAATGGCAGGGTGGTGGGCACAAGGCGTTGTCTGTTGCCATGACCGTGCCAAAAGGAAGGCGAGTGGAAAGAAGCCTAGAGAGAAATTCTTTCGGTAGTGATACAGTTGATGTTCTCCGTTGGATGTAACACCAGTACTAGTTATCTACATGCCACGTTAACGGTATGAACACCTTTGTTGCCCTCATTTGTTTCACGACTCCTGAGTTCTAACTTATATAGCTTTGTTATCGACTTAGGTGTCCACTCTGATGCTTTCTGTCACAGAACTTTCTATCGGCACCAGGCCAACTTAGTTTATAGCTGGGGTATAGGTAGTTTTATTTTAGGGTTTTTAAAAGTATTCTACTTATTTCTATACTGATATGGACCACACATGAGGAAATGAATGAGCAAATATTAACATTACTGGTAATATGATTTTAAATAATATTTGTCACACAATGTCACATATAGCTTATACTTGTCTATTCATAGATCAATAGTTTCTTCCCAAGTTGACACTGTCTTTTTACAAAGAGCAAGAAGGGTTACTATATGGGTCAATGCCTTCCATGGATTTGATCAAGAATGGCATGCTGCATACCGAAAATGTCAAAGCCAAATACTAGATGCTAAGATGAGGGGGTGGGGAGGGGAGTGACTGAAAGTAAATCCTCAGAATATGACCCACCCATAATGCGGTCATTCAACAAGTCGTGGGGTGGTCTCATATATTCAAATGTCATTTGTGAACGATATTGCTTTGTCAAAGGTCGTCAAGGGGACCATTTCGAAATCTTTTTTTTTTAAACAAAGCAAAGCAAAACAGCACAAGAAGATTTTTTTCCATTGCTAGAAAATGAGGTCCATTCTATACTTGTTGACGAATACATTGTTGCGATATTATTAAGAACATATATGTCTTCCTGAAATCGTTGAGATGACACAGGCAAAATTTTCAGCCAACTCCACTCACGTTTTATAATTTTGCTTTGGCACGGTAAAAAGGTTGCCTGTGTAGAGCTTCAATCCTAGCAGAATTGCTCGTAAACTCAACTCGATTTCCCACATGTATAAGATGACTTGAGAACGTGGCGGCCCGGAGTCGTGGAACACCAGCTGACCTACAGTGACACAGATTGCATCACCTAGTTCTTGATGAAAGACCGGAGGTTAGTATGCTGAAATCAGTTGAACTAACTGATATTTCGTCTAAATGTTTCTTGCACATTGGGGCATTCAACCGACTGACTTGTTGGTTTGTTTCGCATAACTGGTAAATCGCCGTCAGGCGTAACACACCAGTTTTTGTACAGTAAGTACAAGCTGCGTAAGACCGGACTGTATGGTTTGATCCACTCATACCCGGGGATTTTCGATAAAGTGTGGTGGTTCTTCTCAAAAATGGGACCTCCAATCAGATCTGTACATTTGCATGTTTACACTGAGTTTGCATTCGACTGAAATTACATACAACTTGATTTCCCTGGCAACTTCAAGGTTTAACCACCCAACATGGCGGACAATACTGACGTCATAGTCACGTGAGTGCAAGCTCATTATTGTCCACCAAAGGGAAACCCACCATTGGCTTGTTGTTCCTGTCCAGCAGCAACATGCTCCCGAAACCCTGTAGTCTCAGCAGCCGTTTTTTCCATGACCGGATCTTCCTTCTGGAAGGTGTGGGCTTTCCACCTGAAACGGCAAAACAAATGCGTCATCAGTTAGAAAAAAATTGCTTACAAAATTGCGAATGTATAAGCTGAATGAATGTCGTAAAAATGGATGCTGTCGTCGATCATTAGATGTGCACATTATCATAACCACGTAACTGTAATTACAAAAATAATCAACATTTACATGACAACTTTCAGGTTTAACCATCCAACATGGCGAACAATGTGACGTCATAGTCACGTGAGTGCAAACTACACGTACTCAAATGCTTCCAGTTTGACATGTTGGTACCATATGATTATCTATCACAGTTCCAATTCTTTACTTCTTCTTGACAAGCTTGTGTAAACTTGGGAATTCGAATCTGATGTTTCTTTGACTTATCGGGTGAAATTCTGGACCGTGAGAAACGTGGGTTTTGGGCGCCATCCCTGCCCAAGGCGGGTATACCGTAACTCATGCAAAAAATTAAAGGATACCGAAAAGCGTCTTTGGTAGATAACAGGCCCAAAACTAATTACACAAGAGCTTTGGTGAATGTTTGGCTTCAGTTACGCTCTGGTGAAGAAAAGATATGAAGTCTCACATAGAAGACATACTTTTGTGCATCTTAAGTGGAAGATAGTATTACTAACAGCAGTACTAATATGTCAGGGGCACATATTTACTATTCACTGGTGTCACTTTCAACCTGGCAAACTTATCCTTACAATCTCTAATCAATTGTCTTTTCACCAAATGCTCGAAATTGGACCCATACATAATTACAAGAGCCATTTTCCAAGCTTGGGATCCTAACATCAGAAAGTAATGGACAGATGTGTCTTGATAATCCGGTAATCGACACACTGCTTCCCACGGCGATTCCTTCAAGGCAGAGATTAGGGAGGAGTCCTTTAAGGAATTGAGAAATCCTTTAAGAAGCGCCTATCTGCTGTTACATCTGCGTGGGCTGCCCAGCGTGAAAATGATTGGAACCAGGAATGTCCACTGTAAATTTTAACATTTTGTGGTCTTTTTTAAAGTTTGCGGGTTTTCACAAACATTGTCTTGCAATATTGTTTATACTTCCATTGCTTGAAGGCAAAGACATAAACTGCAAACTCTTAAATTTTCACCATAAAATTCAAGTGCCACAAACATAAAATGATCTACAGTATCTACCTAAGACTATAATCCTATTCAAACAAGGCGAAAGATGTTGTTACTGATACCATCGATGCTTCAAAATGTAAACAGTTTATACAAATTCTCGTTGGTAACTGTGCGTATACAAACATACAAGTCAACACGTGTACGTACTTTACTGTCAGAACAAACATATCACTACTGATAGTCTGATACAGGAGCGTTAATAGATGGTTTTGATATCATTTAATCCCTCTGCAGGAAAGTAGATCCGTCCCCTCGGGCGATACCGATATAAAGTACAGATGTTTTGGAGCACTTCTGCAACATGTTCAAACTGATGCCTGGTAGTGATAAGAGTAGAGCACATTCTTCATTCTGCTCATAAGTAGATAACCCTGGCATTTTTGTTTTACAGCGTGTTGTTACCTTAAAGTCATCCAAAGAGGCCTAGGGTTTTTAAAACCAGTCCCATATGCTACTGAATAGCTTATAACCCCAAAACCAAATCATCAACGGATAAAATAACAAAGACACAGATTGTGATAACTACAACAATATTTGTATTGTAAACATTGTTGAGTGGCCGTGCTCTGACATGGTACTCCTGTACCATAAGAATTTTGATCACCTAATGTTTCACAAGTACATGTAAAAGGACAAATTGATATTTCATGGATGGTACCCAAGTTCATTTAACGACGTGATCGCAGGTCGTCGTACGATTTTGAGGTGTGCGTACGACACCTGTACAACTACCTCAAGAATACCATCAGTTTGTGATCGTACAGCGGTTGTATGATAAATCCAACCAGGCTACCTTAACAAATCCAAGGGACATCAACACTACCTACATGGCCTAACACATGTACAAGTCACAGACGAATCCATTACTGTGTAATCCTCTTATCTTAAACTCATACATTAACAGGAAGGAAGTGACTTGTAACCAAATCAACTGTGCAGAATTCTTGTAGCCAGAAATAGAACAGAAGTTTCTCGCCCAAATAACGATTGGTCGCGGCTGCACATCCATCACTATGTACGCGTTACGTTGTTGCCTCGGGGAAAAGGATAAAGGGCAAGGTCTTGGAGAAAACTGGCAACTCGATCGTCAATCTTGATCTTTGTTAGAATACACTTAAAAGTTACGGTCGTTCTGGGAAGAAGGCACGCACAGAAGGAAATCGACATTTAAAACCTCGTACAGATACTTGTTCTTTCTCATATTTGTCTAAGTTGACAACTGTGCATATTGGCTTCAACCTTACTCGCCAAGCAGAGGTTGTGTTGATGATAGTTAGCTTTTTATATATGGCCATTTTTGTCGCTTATCCCGTCGGTGGCTGGCGACCTTCTCTGGATATATAATGGATACTGCCTGGCCAATTTGATACTGTCTTTTTGCCACCGATGCCGAAAGGGATCTGTTTGGAGATTATTCAACCTAACATTTTCTTAGCATGGTGGAACTAAGCGTGGCCACGTATACACGTACAAACTCGCTCGGTCGTGCTTTCTTCAAACAAATTCAATGCACAACAGTATGTTTTGCCAAGCCTAGAAAAACGCCATTTTTCTTCGCCTGTCATTGGCAGCTCCACTGATTACAATACCAGATCTACCAACCGGCACGGTGAGGAAAAATCCAAGAGTCTGGTCTCTAAGGACACGTGCTTTTTGACATTGACGTTTGAAACATGTAACCTACAGTCTGCCCTACTTGTAGGAACGTGACGTTCAAGTACAACAATTGGCTACAGTGTCCTATAGTTACTGTGGCGTTGGCGATTTGGCCGGCACAAATCCGTACTAAGCCGTGCTTTCTTGTGCGATCGTTTGAAATCGTGACAGAAATCTCTGTATGATTGTATCTAACGATGTTGACATTGGCAAGAGGGTTTCATTTTCACAAAATAAATACGGGGATCGTTGATTGACAAGACAAGGTTAAACCCGGGAATCTACACCAGTGGTGAGGGGGGGGGGATACAAGCTTAGTCACGTGGGACCGCATTTTGCTCACTGAAGCGCCCCCAGCGGCGTGCAGAAGAAAAGCAACAGAGAGACAAAACGGTTTTGTCATTAGCTTTGTACAAATACCCAAAGTTTTAAACCACCGATATGTTTGGTTCCTTTAAATTAAAGGTACAGAGTTCTGTGCAACTTCCTATTTCTCGACGCAGATCAAAGAAAACGCTTGACATTTGTACTAAACGGAGCGTCGTAAACCGCTGCCAGTGACACAGGTAACCTGATGACACGTGCACAATAACAAACACCCGTGCGCCCTCGTGGTGGTCACGAGTCCGTGATAAAGGCTTCCACAATCCACTCGAGTCATAAACCAATCACCACGCGCATTACACTGTCACGATTTACGGCGAAAGAATCACAGTGAGCATTCAAGGGGCCATCTTGTGGTAAAACTACACGCTTGTAAAGTCTGTCTGAATGTGAAAAGCAATCTAAACATCGACATATACAAGTGTAGTACATTTTATCCAATTGAAATCGCCAACATAATGAGCAGCGGGAGCATCCTAGCCATTTCAATGGGTAGATATTGTCAGTGTGGGTAAATATCACAGTCAGCCATCTTGGCAGAGCGGATGTTAACGTCGGTAGGGTGCAGACGAAAACGATACTGTATCACGCGAACTGAAGTCTCTCCAAGCTAACTCGAGACGTGAGAACATGTAGCACCATTAGAATTTAGATGGCCTTCACGTGTTAGCGATAGCACGATAGAACTTTCGCCAAAGATGTTTTTATTGGCACTGGTTATCTCTGAAGATTTGAATAAGTTACATTCATTTGTCACGATTGTGAATCCGATCTTCATAGCCAACCATAGCACAGCTTCATCAATATCTCCGAGATAAAAAGAAGAGGTACATCTTCAGCCAAGTCAGTGTAGTGCTTGGCTCGGACCTATTTCACTACACAATGTTACTGTCAACAGTGTGCAGTTCAGCGACACCGTACGGGTCCGGGTCCATTCCAAGACATATATACGACGTACATGTTGGTAAAATGTGGCACAAAACATAGAAATTCTCTGTACTACAGGTCTCACGATGTCACACAGTGTTATAACTATTCAGGAAGCAAAGAGAGTAGAGTCTTCAACCAAGGGCTTTCACTCAACCGAATGGGAGTACAAACTTCCAGGCACCTCTGACCCAGTTGCTGACGCGGCAACCGTAACGCGATTTAATCAGGCTACTGACGTTTAGTATCTGTATAATCACGTGTTCCGGGTAAATGGGTCATTCATACTGAAGTAGACCTTAGGTATCGCCGAAAAGATGCATTTTATTTTTGTGCCTGAGCATTTAAACTTTAAAAAATAACAACAAAGATCATAACAATGAAAAGTCAATAAAGGTGTATAGAACTCTGGATTGGAACTGCTGTTGTAATTGTGGAACAATGACCTAGTGCCATAATAAAGTTATCGCTTGAAACAATCAATTCATTATTATTGTAGACCGATCCCATAGCTCCGCCCACCTTAGTCAAAACGTATGAAATACAAATATATCATGACATGCAGCCACTCTCTCATTGGTCGAACCGCTCATTACCATGCTATCATTGATTGAACTATGAATTGTGATGAACAGCCCGGATTGGTCTATTCCCTTCCAAACTGCATTAATCAACATCCAGTGTACGTAGAACTAAGCTGAGGTTTCTGTAAATTAAAGCTGTCAGGTTTATGTAACAGATTACCGCATAAAATGATGTACAACATGTACCCAGTCTGGGGTAGGTAGGCCGGCGGCCAGGAAAACTAGACATCATCAATCTTTGTTAAAACATCCCGTAAAACCCGCTGGGAAATCATTAATTTTTTTCAGAAATATTCCAATAGTTGTGCATTT